AGCTGAAAGATGCGGAAGCTTGAATGTGTGTTGCTATATTTTTGTGCTGGGCTGAATGAATTATTTTAGTTGAACTGTTGGCAGCCCGCAAGACTGGTCAAGCCACATGGGCAACCCCAGGTAGCAACTGGCATCAAGTCCCAGGGCAGTAAACAGCACATTGTGTTTGGTGATGTGATAGGCTTTCTTAGCAACCTTTTGGTCCCTTCCCTAAGGACATGACAGGGATCACCCTGGAGCTTATGCAAAAAGGCATGCAGGCGGAAGATTACCTGTGCCAAGCTGCAAACATGAAGGACTCTTGGTGCAGATGTGAAATTGAAAGCTTTCAAGTGTTGTTCAAGCTAAGCGGCTGCTGTGAGCGTGATGCTTGTTGGTGGTCTCGCAAGGAGCGGCTTGGACAGCTAGAGAGCCACAGCCGCACTAGTTTATCGTTTTTCGGGCCATTTGGCTCGCTTTGCCGACAATAACGCAGAAGAACATGTGGATGCTCAGGATTGAATTTGGGCAAGCCACTGCAGAACTAGCCACCTACCAATCGGACAAAGACACTCGGCGAGCGGTTGCGTGCCTCTTGAAGCTGATGTGTGACCACCAGCAAGCAGTTTGAGGATGCAATGGTCAAGTCCTTCACCAGCAAGGACAAGCTGGTGGAAGTTCTCGGAATTGAGCTAAGCAGTCTGCGGCCTGGAGGCAGCCTAGATCGAGTGTAACAGCATGTAAGTCACACCTGGTCAAAGCGCTTGATGGCTGGAGCAATAGCCAAGGAAGGAGCAGCTCCAAAAATGCCGGCAGGACCGACTTGGCCCTAAAGCTGCTGCCAATGGGAACCTCCGGGTTGGGGGGAAGGGTGATCGGTTTCTGCCTTTTCTTTGGTCGTTGCTTCTGCGGTTTGCCCTCGGAGCGACGGTCAACCCTACTCTGGTTGAGGGGGTCCGGACTTGGAACACGCAAGCCCCAGTCTGTCTGTTTGTTCGTCTGTCTGAACGTCGGCTGAATGTCTGAATGTCTGCCTGCCTGCCTGTCTGTCTGCCTGCCTGTCTGTCTGTCTCTGTCTCTGTCTCTGTCTCTGTCTCTGTCTCTGTCTCTGTCTCTGTCTCTCCGTCTCTCTGTCTATTTGTCTCTCTGTCTCTCTGTCTCTCTGTCTCTCTGTCTCTCTGTCTCTCTGTCTCTCTGTCTCTCTGTCTCTCTGTCTCTCTGTCTCTCTGTCTCTCTGTCTCTCTGTCTCTTTGTCTCTGTCTCTGTCTGTCTCCGTCTCTCCGTCTCTCACTGTCTCTCTGTCTCTCTGTCTCTCTGTCTCTCTGTCTCTCTTTCTCTCTGTGTCTCTGTCTCTCTTTCTCTCTGTTTCTCTGTCTCTCTGTCTCTCTGTCTCTCTTTCTCTCTGTTTCTCTGTTTCTCTGTCTCTCTGTCTCTCTGTCTCTCTGCTCTCTCTCTGTCTGTCTGTCTGTCTGTCTGTCTGTCTGTCTGTCTGTCTGTCTGTCTGTCCGTCCGTCCGTCTGTCTGATGTTTGTGCGTGTGTGTGTGTGTGTGTGTCTCTGGCACGATGCAGTCCCCGCTGTCGAGTGAAGGCAGTAGCTTCGACCACAGAGACAGAGACCGCGCCCAGGAGACCAGCATCTTGGACAGATGCAGTCACCTCAGCATCAAACTGCGGTGATGCGTTAGCTGACACATGCCCATGACACTGACGAGCGTTCCCGCGTTGCACGCGATTTGGGCCATAAACAAAACCTCAGATAGTAGGGAACATTTCCAGCCATAAATTGGCGTGAGCGCCCTTTTGCTTCGTCACTTGGTTTGCTTCTCTACTGCGTTGTGTGGCACATGCGCGCCCAAGGCCTGGAAGACAAGCAGCTGCTTGGAGGGAATTTTCGCGCGAGTGTCTAGAATTCTGGCATGATTGGCAGCTTGCTAGCCAGACGCCCAAATGGCGACAGCAGATGCCAGTGTTGCTTTCCATAGGCTCCAAAATGACCAGCTAATCGAGAAGATGGCCACAAAGGACTGCCGGCAGGTGGCGGCTGTGGCGGGTTTCCGGTGGAGTGCAGGACTCTGCCATACAGCAGCTGCAATGCGAGCTCACCGCCTTCAAGATCCAAGCGTCGGATGATGCCAGGCCGGAGCAAGGGCGGTGCGATGCGGAAAACTGCCGAAGCTCGGCCAAGGCAGAGTTGCGAGTCCTTGGAGGCCGCTCGCGCCTGGTTCAGCCGAGCCCTTGCCATGGGGGGCCTACATGCGGCATGTGCATGCAGTATGTGGCAGGGATTTCAAGCCAAGTCTTGGGATTTTCAGGCCCTGGGAGCCTGAAGGTCGCCAAGTTTGCAGGTGCTAAAGGCAACCTTGGAAGAGCAGATCCATGAGAACGAGCTCTTGCACGCGGAGCTCGAGCAGAGACGCTGCGAGTGCGAGGACGGAAGGGTTGTTTGTTTTGCCTTTGCGGCTTTTTTGGACGCTTTTGGACCTAGATAGTTGTGCATGGAATGGTTTAAAGGATCCGAGCTTGCCCTAGGGCCCCAAGGCTAGTTGTCTGTTGGAGTTAAAAACCATCTTGAGCTCAAGGGGGGCACAACTGTCAAGGCTTTTACTATGGGGGTCGATGTTGCCATTTCCACGCCTGGTCTTTGCGCGGATTGCAATCGGTTTGAAGCCTGATGGCGGCTGGCGCTTTGATTGGCCTTGCCAGGAAGCCACCCTGGAAAGCCGCAAGCTGTGCCGAGCTCGGGCGTTTTTGTTTGAACGCGCCGCCAGTCAGCGTGCTAAGGTTCGACCACTTGGCGGCACGGACCATCGAAAGAGATGACCTGGCAGGTCAGCTTCAGGGAGCCCGATCTTTGGTGGAGCAGCTCAAGGAGAGAGCACTTTGGAGTGAAGGTTGCCCGGGAAGTTGCAATTTGCAATGCGAAGTTGCTGAAGCTGCTCAGGAGGAAGTATGCACTTCACAGCAGATCGAGTCTTCTCTTGGCGAAAGGCTCAGCAGGACTACGGAGGAGTTGCTTGGATGAAATCAGGCAGCTGAGCACTTGATGGACACTTGGTTCTCTCAGCATGGGCTTCCACCCCAAGCATACCCCAGGAGGGAGACGCCACCAGTTTTTAGCACAACCATATGCCACCTCATCAGTTTCTTTTTTCGCAGCTTCCTTTGCAAGTGCTGTGGGGCCAGATTGGGGCAGGAAGATCGGATTCAGCCAAGGAATGCGAATCTGCATCAGAGGGTTCAGACCCTCACTGTCCACTCCAACCAACAGAAGCGTGACAATGAGGACCTTCTCAGTCAGCTCAACCAGCAAGCCGCCTTCCTGCATTGTGCTTCACAAGTCACTTGCAGCTGCTGGCAGCTTGGTCCGGAGGCCAAACCCAGCAGAGATGCAATGTTGGTGACGCATGCCGGCATTTACCAAGGTTAGCAAAGTGGCTAAGCAACGGCTGGAATTGATGAGATCTGAGCGCCAGATCGAAGAAGCCCAAGCGCAAGTTGTTGCACTCAAAAGAGCCTTGGCTGCCCGAAAAGGAAGTCACACATTTGGGCCCTTCGGCTCAGCTGGTGCCTGCCTGCATTCCTGACTTCTCTCCCCGATGGAGTTCTTGGCATCATAGCTTGACATCCTGGGGAAGTGGATCTTGCGGGATGATCCGAATCACTGACCTGTCGTGGTAGCGGCCGAGGCACACTGACTCTGGAAGTGCAACGCCGCGAAGAAGCGGCGACCCGCTGTGCTGAGCTCTTATGCTCCCATCCATCCATGTGCATCGAAGCCTGGATTGGACGCGCGCTTCGGCCGGAGTTCGGAGTTTGACTTGCCAGCGGTCCATTAAATTCAACACATTGCCAGGATCTCAATGTTATTTTTGCGGGTTAAAATTCTTTCACGCTACCATTTGGAGGATCGTTTTCAGGATGTTAGTTCGTACTGCATTCGTTTTGCCCACTTGCAACTGGAAGTGCTGGACGCAGTTCATGCCAGAGGTGCGGACCTTCAACGCATGTGTTGCTTGCCTGCATTGTTTTGAGCCAACAGCAGCAGCAGTCCGACTTCCCTGTGTTTTGCCAGCCATGCTTGTCACCAATCGCTTCGGAGTTTGCTTGAGGCTGAGTGGCAACTGGTGGCAGGCAGTGGGTCTGAGGAGCGCATTGTAATGAGAGGTGGCAGGGCAGAAGCACAGCCTGGCTTGCTGGCATCTGAGGCGACGGTCGGCAATTGCGATTTGTTTCCTTCCCCTTTGTTCCGTCATGGCAAGCGATGTGTTCTATGCACCCCTGCTTTGCAAGCGGTGAACGCTGTGCGCAGACCCCGTGCATCATCCTCAACCCTCGAGAGCAGAAGGCGCCGAATCAGCGGTTGCACGGGGGTGGGGGCAGGGGGGGTGGGGCGACAGAGAGACAGAGCCAGAAAGAAAGGAAGAAGATATAAAAGGAAAGAAGGATGGAAAGAAAGAAAGAAAGAACTAACGAACAAACGAACGAAAGAAAGACCGAAAGAAAGAAAGAAAGAACTAACGAACAAACGAACGAAAGAAAGACCGAAAGAAAGAAGGAAAGAACTAACGAACAAACGAACGAAAGAAAGACCGAAATAAGCAAAGAACGAACTAAAGAAAGAACAAATGAAAGAACAAACTAACGAACGAAAGAAAGAAAGAAAGAGCAAACTACAGGAAAAGTAGAAAAATAGGGAAAGAAGGAAAGAAGGAAAGAAGGAACGAAAGAAAGAAAGAAAGAAAGAAAGAAAGAAGGAAGGAAGGAAGGAAGGAAAGAAAGAAAGAAAGAAACAAAGAAGCAAACAAATAATGAAACAAATAAATAAAGAAAGAACAACATCAATAAATCAAGAAATAAATAAGCAAAGAAATATAAGAGAAAGAAACGAAATCAAGAAACTAACACATAAATAAAGAAAGAGACACGGAAAGAAGGAACGAAAGGAAGCATGACATACATAAATAAAGAAAGAGAGACAGACACAAAGAAACAAACCAACATAACGAAAGAACGAAATAACGAAAGAACGTAAGACCACAAGAACGAAAGACCACAAGAACGAAAGAAAGAGATAATACAGAAAGAAAGAAGGAAAGAAGTAAGGAAGGAAGAAAGGAAGGAAGAAAGAAAGAAGTAAGGAAGGAAGGAAGGAAATAAAGAAAGAAAGATAGAGAGAGAGAGAAAGAAATAAGCAAAAAAAGAGAGGAATGAACAAATAAATAACTAAATAAAACAACAAAGAAACATAGAAAGAAAGAGAGCCACAAAGACATACATAGGAAAATAAAGATAAACATAAGATAAAGAAAGAACGGACAACAGAAAGACCGAGAGACAGAAAGAAAGAATCGAAGGAAAGAAGGCAGGAAAGAAATACAGAAAGCAGGAAGGAAGGAAGGACCGCAGGAAGACATAACAAAACAGAGCCTTGTGACGCCTGGGAACACTCCGGTCAGCGATCTCCTTTCACGCTTTCGGCATGCAGGCCAAGGAGAAGAAGGATGAAGATAAAGTGCCGGTGAACTTATACAATGCCAAGAAACCTGGTGCTGTAGCGCATGGCTCAGCGAGCATGCAAAGCGGCAGGGCTTTTCAGTACAGAACACTCATTCAAGGCACTCCGTGGTCGGCGACCAGCGGCTGTCCCCCCACAGAAGCAACACGTTCTCGTATTCGACCAGATACGGCGTGCGTTCAGTCAGTCGCTTGTTCGACATCGTGCATTGATTTGTTCGGCCAGCTTTCGCGTTTGCTAGGCCATTTCTTTCAAGGTCAACAGGGCTTACCGCCCCGTTCAGAAACCGAGGAACAAGCTCATGTATGACCGCAACTTTGGAGTCGTGCGGCCGTTTCCGGACACTACCTCGACGTGCTCGTCGAACGCAACCTAGCACTGGTTGTGGAGAAGTGGGTGTTCAGGTTCTTGTTAATTGTTCTAGTTTGGATTGGAAGTTTCTTTGCTGGTTTTGGCCAATGTTGCCTGTCCAAATCGCATGGCGGCCGTTGTTGTGTTTGGTCTGACCTGGCCTGTTAGCCAAGGCATCGCTCTCTTGATTTGGCAGTCAGACACATCGACTTATTGCCTTCCCCTGGCTGTTTTTTGTTTTTTTGTTTCTCTTTGGTGCCGCGAGGGCAACCTTTGAAGGCGACTTTTGGTTCAGAGAAGCTGAGATGGTCTCGCTTCCATCACTCTTGTTTTGGCGCAAAGCCTGAACCGAGCCACTCTCCGCCTGGCCTTTGGCTTGTCCAGCCATTATTTGTTGGCCCCGGAGGCTGTGAGCTAGGTGGAAGTTGGAGTTTGAAGCCTTGCTGGGATCTCAGGATCGGATATCCAACCAGAGGTCCATTTTTGATTGGTGCATAGCGATTGTCCGGATCCGACCAAGGCGCACACAGGAACCATAATATCTTGTCTCAATGCGGCAGATATGCAAAGCTGTGGCTTTTCCTTGCTGCCGTTGCTGCCTCAAGATGGGGCAGCACCAACTTACTGCTGCGAATGTTTAGCTTGAACAGCAGGCGGCATATTCTGCTTGACCTGATGAAGCTTCGGACCCTTCTTTGCCACTACTCGCCGCGCATCTGTGCATCAGATGTTCTAAAATCTTGTTGACTGGCTCTGCTGCTTGAAGCAAAGGGCCAATGCTTGTGCTCCTAGATCTACTTTTAAAAACCCATAGTGGGTTTCAGACGCTAAGTTAATATGATGGGCAGCTGTCCAAACTGTCCAAGGCGCTCTGACGTCATGCCAGGTGCGTGAAGCTAGGCCTTAGGCACGAACTTTCAACATGTCTTCTGGGAGCGGTTCTATGGATAACACGTGCATCATTACGTGCGCGTGCAGACCTGAAGCAAACGCCTTTTGTGCCCATGGCATTTCTGAAAGCTTGCGCCTTGGGCTCGCGGTGATTTTTGTGGAGCCCTCGGGCGGAATCGGTGCGCCTATCCAGCTGGAGAGCTGGGCCCATGGGCCAAGCCCTGGGCCTGAATGTGAAAGAGTGCCAGCGGATTCGATTTGCCCATGTTGGTGCCCTTTTTTGGAAGTTGGTGTAAAGGGAAACCAAGAGGAACACTATTTGGGAGGGTCCCCGAAAAAGGACTCCCATGTGGAAGCTTACAACAGATAGCTTTGGACCTCCTGCAACCCTGGGAGCTTAGTTTTGCGCGGGCTACGGTGCTGTTTGAGTCCCTCCATGCACTTCCAAGATGTTGCCAGGAGCGGGGCCTCACCATTATTCCTATGGTGGACCGACGGCTGGGCGGTGACTGCACCCTACGCCGTTTATAGACAAGGGTATTCAAATTCCTTTGTTCCATGGGTTGCAGCATCAGTGCATCACCTTTCTTGCTCGAGCTTTCTTTGGGCCAGGTGATGTTTCAAATGGGGATTCCGGAATCCTGTTTCACGCAAAGAGTGCTGGGAAGGACACTTGGCTGAAGCGGAGCTGTCAGATGAGTGGCGAGCTGCAGCCCTTCGAGCTTCTCTATTTGCCTCGAGGCGGGCAAGTTGAGACCTGAAATCCCAAAGGATGGCCCCCCCGCGGAAAAGAGCGCCACTCTATTTCTTTTCAATGGGAGGTTGCTTACAGACGGAGCTCCGCTTCGCTAGAGAGCACCTTTGTCTTCGCTCAGGTGTTCCCATCAAGCTCTCACAGCAGCCGGAGATGGTGGATGAGGCGGGTTGGCTTCACCAGAGCCGGCGTTTCGCTGGGGCGGAAGTTTCAACAACAAATCAGCAACTATAGGCTGGGAAGTGTTCGGAAGGCACACACACACACACCCACCCACCCACCCACCCGCCCGCCCGCCCGCCCGCCCGCCCGCCCGCCCGCCCGCGCACGCACGACTACGCGCGACAGTTAGGGGCCCGCGCACACGCACCCACACCCCACACCCACACCCACACCCACAACCACACGCACACCCACACCACACCACACCCACACCACACCCACACACGCCCTCGCACACACGCACTCACACGCACACACGCACGCACGCACGCACGCACGCACGCACCCACGCACGGAGCACGCACCCACGCACGACGCACGCACGGCTACGCCGCACGCACGCCACGCCCACACCACCACACCCAACCCACCACCACCCACCCACCAGCCACCCACCCACGCACGACGCAAGCACGCACGCGCGCCAGCACGACGCACGCACGCAGCTACGCAGCCACACACACACCACACCACACCACACCACACCACACCACACAACACACACACCCACACGCACACGCACACGCACACGCACACGCACACGCACACGCACACGCACACGCGCACGCGCACGCGCACGCGCACGCGCACGCGCACGCGCACACGCACACGCACACGCACACGCACACGCACACGCGCACGCGCACGCGCACGCGCACGCGCACGCGCACGAGCACGCACACGCACACGCACACGCACACGCACACGCACACGCACACGCACACGCACACGCACACCGCACACGCACCACCAACAACACACACACAACCACAAACACCACCACACACAGACACACACCACAACACACACCAACACACACCACAACACCCACAAACACACACCACAACTGACACAAACACACACAACACACACACCACCACACACCAACCCAACACCACACACACCACAACTCACACACACACACACACACACACACAACACACACACACGTCACACACACACACACACAGCACAATCTCGAGAGGGTTTCATAGCGAGATGCAAAAAGGTTTGGAGAGAACCTGCAACTGACTGAAGTTGCTTGACAGATCACAATGCAGAACAGAAACCGGGAAGCAACAGCGAACAGGACAGAAAGACAGTCAGGAAAAAGGAAGGAAAGGCATCACGGAAATGCAGGTACGCCGGGGTGGCCAACTCCGGTATCCCGTCTTGCTGCCTAGCTTTGTTAGACCAGGTCAGCAGCAAGACGCCTGGTCCCCCTGCTTAACGTCCGTGTTCCAGGACGGTTCACACACACAAAGCCCCGGCGGGGCGGGCACGAACCACACAGAGGGAATTCCACCAGGGGACCGCTAAAAACCCCGCGGCAACAGCAAAAGATTTTCAAGGACGAAAAACCGGGCGCACAAAACCAAGCAGAGGGAATTCCACCAGGGGACCACCACAAACCCCCGGCAACAGCAAAAAAAATTCAAGGACGAAAAACCCGAGCACACAAAAACCACACAGAGGGAATTCCACCAGGGGACCGCCAAAAACCCCGCGGCAACAGCAAAAGATTTTCAAAGACGAAAAACGAAAGAAAAAAACCAAGCACACAAAACCAAACCGAGGGAATCCCACCAGGGGACCGACAAAAAACCCCGCGGCAACGGAAAAAAGTTTTGCAAGAAACGAAGATGGCGGTCAGGGCGTGAACGTGAATTGAACTGATCTGAGTCGGCGCAGTGCGTGAACCAATAAACGGCAAAGTCGGTATCTGACCGGCTTGTCACTTGCGCATGAAGCTTCGGAGCCTGAAACCTTATGAGAGCTGCCTTGTTCAAAAGGCAGGCAGTGCAATGCAAATGAAGCTGCGGAGCCTGATACCTCATGAGAGCTGCCTTGTTCAAAGGCAGGCAGTGCAATGCGAGGTTGAACTGAACGTGAACTTTTGAACGTCATCCCCTCGCAGGGGGCTCCCGCATATGGCGAGTCCAGCCCACAGCGCCATGTCGGACAGGCCGTGGGTTTTCACACTTATCTCGAGAGGCTTCACTAGCCGAGATGCAAAGGTTGGAGAAACCTGCAACTGCTGAAAGTGCTTGACAGATCACAATGCAGAACAGAAACCGGGAAGCAACAGCGAACAGGACAGAAAGACAGTCAGGAAAAAGGAAGGAAAGGCATCACGGAAATGCAGGTTCGCCGGAGTGGCCAACTCCGGTATCCCGTCTTGCTGCCTAGCTTTGTTAGACCAGGTCAGCAGCAAGACGCCTGGTCCCCCTGCTTAACGTCCGTGTTCCAGGACGGTTCACACACACACACACACACACACACACAC